TGATCAATCTTGTTGCATCGGTTGTTATTAAGCTACAACAAAAAATATTAAAATTATTAAATTATAAAATTTCGAGATAATAATCAGGATATAATTTTATTTTATACTTTGATGTCCAAATACACTCCAAAAACATTCATATCTAGGTAAACTACAACTAAAGCTAAGAACCAAAAGTCTTTAAATGTGAAGCACCTTGGCCATATATTAACTGCTAAGCTATTGAATTTAATTAACATCTTTTGTTGTTATCTAATACTAAGTATAAATTTACTACAATCATATTATCTGGTTCACAGATAATATTTTGTCTTACATTAGGAGAAACCCCAAAAAGTCACTCAACTTCTTGTTAGTTTTATTTTTTTTCATTAGCATGCTTACTCAATCTTCTCATGCATGCGTATAATTCATAGTATATTACCTTATCCTAAGCGATATCAAAGATACTATAAAAATATTAAAAATTTAATAAATAGACAGCTGAATACAAAATTCAATAAAAGTGCAAATCCCTCTCATCAATGATTTCAAAAAGCCCATACATATCCCTGTTGGCAAAACTTACAACAATTGCTCCATTTTTTTTCAATCCACCACTTTCCCAGTATCAACCAAATGAATGAGAGCCAGTTATTTAAGTACAAATAAATTTAAGAAGGATTGCTTTCAAATGGTTTGTTAGGCTTCTTTTTGCATCTCCTAATCAAGTTAAATAATTATAATCTTGAATAAATAAAAAAATACGTACAACTGCCCCCAACACAAAGCATTGCATCAATTTTTTAATCTTAAATATTTATTTAATTATCAAATCCAATTAATGAGCGGTGCATAGAGTCCAATATAAGTATGAATATTAGTCTTTCAACAAATTTCCTATAACAATATAACTAAATACTTAATAAATTATCAAATAATCAGTAGAATTATGTAGCATTTGGATGCATTGTCAATGATCAATTAAATGATATAGCATGATCCAATATCCTTGTTATACTTGCTCATTATCACTAATCACTTGAATGATATAATGTGATCCAATCTCCTTATTGAACTTGCTTAAAAAATCAACAACTTCACTATGTTCATTGAATAAGCATAGTTATTAATAGAATCTATGAATATAGTTTCTCTTAATGCACCAAAAAATTAAATAATTTTTTTTTTGTTCATTATGTGATTCCAAATCATGAACCATAAAAGAACCATATTTTAAACAATCTTTTCTAAATTATTATAACAATCAATATGTGTTTGATATCTTCAAAAACAATAATCACACGCCATGATAGCTAAGAGATTTTATTTCATTACCAAATTATCTAGATGTCTCCACTATTTTTGGTAAGTTACAAATTTAATTGTATTGAATGGAATGCGGCATTCTAAATCCCATGATAAAACAAATGAATTGCTCTCTCTCATCTCTTCTCTAGCAGCATCCATATTTATTTTGTATTTTATCATTTCGTTACTTAATCATTTCAATAAATTCAAAGCAACAATATATATCAAATGATCCTTTAGTTTTTGGTTCTTTAAACAAAGAAATCGTTACATTCTAACTAAACTTATTTGATTTTATTATAGATATTTTTGATAATCCAACATAGCATATTATCATTCAGCATCATATAAAAATCATCACATTCATCAATATTAGCATATGACATTCAATTAAGTTGGCCTTTCAATTTCTTTTTCAGAAATTATTAAATTTTATATTTCAAACATTAAGGCAACTTAGTAAATGCATTAGCATTTCTAAAACCTCCAAGGAAATGTTGCTTTTGGATTAGTAATTTCTGTTGTTGTTTTATCACGACAAAGCGTGTAATACATGTTTTCATGCCATATCATTCCTTGCAGTTTGGCCTAAAGCCACCATTGACAATATGATAAAATGAACTTGGTAAAGATCTTGTATATATTTTTAACATTAATCAATAATTAATAGGGTAACAATCTAACAAAGCTAACTTCCTTAAAAATCAACTAGTTGAAAAAGATGAAAGTAGAAAAATTTTGGATGAAAAACATAAGAAAATAAATATCTATAAGAAACTAAGGACATGCCCAGAAATCTATTTTTATCAAGCCAGAAGAGACACAAGTACAAAGGTGAGAGCATTCAACAATTATGGCCTTCGATGTACTGTTCAAGCAAGGAGAGAGGAGGATTTACAATGCTTGCAATGCGATACAGACAAAAAGAAAGGGTTGAAACGAAGTGAGATGAACACAAAGGCTTGCAATCTTGTGTTGCGAGAGCGGCATAAACACATTGATACGCAAGAGCCAAACAAAGCCGAGGAGAAGCCAAGAGAGGTCTTGTGAGTCGTCAGGGTTTATGACATATGGCACAAATGACTTGCGAAACCGAAAAATTAAAATAGAGGGCTTAATTGAAACTAAATAATAAATAACATAAATATTAATTTGAAACATTAAATCATCTAAATTAAAATAGTGCAATCCATAAGGGTAACTACTCGTTAATAACATAAATAGAGAGTGCTATTTTAACTCCCCGTGTCTCAACATGAATTAATCCCATGCACCTCACCATGAAAGTGATGCAGGAGGTGCAACGCTCAGTGCTATGCGCCATAAAGGACTCACATGAATGGTTAGTCAACAACTTTCAACCCTTCAAGGTTAAAAAAGGCAACATTGATTTCAGGAAGAAAAAAAACCAATTGATTGTTGAGGTTAATGTGAATTCTCTCAAACTTGGTGGATGTTTGCAAGAGATGGAATATAAAGATCCATCCTCAATAATTTCCACATGATAAATTAATTGCCCTCAAACTTGATAGATGCGAATGCTCTCAAACTTCGTGGATAGTGCTTAAAACTCATTCAAAAATTAATTGAATCATTCTCCTTAACCTTACCTCTGTTTATCCTACTAGTCGACTAATGATAAAGTCCTTGCTCTCCAGCAAGGCTAATCAATCCCTATCATCCTATGGTTTCATTTCTTAATTGCACTTCGAAGTTTGGATATACTTTGCTTTATTCTAGAAAGTAGCTTTAAAAATACAAAGTGCTAGCGAGTCAAGCAAGTAGCATTGGAACCAAGACGAATCCATCAAATTGTGATGGCAAGTTTGGCTAATCTCTGGGTAGAATATATGTCAGTAAAATACAAGTTGCTGAATAAGCTTCACCATGCAATTTTCCAATTCCTCCAAAATCAGATATACGCGTTGGCCATATTGACCTAATCCTTGACAAGATAACTGATGGCTTGTGCATGCAAACACTTAAAATATCAAAATAATGCAGGTTCAAATGTCTAGTTGGGTTTATAAAAGAATAGATTAGCTGTTATCATATACGTAAATAAAAAAGATGGAAGGATAGCAAAATTGCATGCTCTTATGAATAGGTTGTGAAGCCAAGCATGCAGCATTTAGAATTAAGTTGACCCATAACAGTCTATGATCAACTTAACCATCCTCATTGAAGAAGACCTGGCAACTCAACCTGCGTATTCTTCAGTATAATTTAATAGTACACCTATGTCAAACCCTAGCCTATCAAACTAAAGGCTTATGCCGCTGCTCAACTATGATCAACAAAAAGACTTGTTATAAATTGTAGTGCGGTACCCTAAGAATCTCAACAGCCAATATAAAGAGTATACCTCATTAGAGCAAAAATGCAAAACACCAATCAAGTAAAGTAAAACCCTAAGACAATGTGTAAAATCAGTCCTACAATTCCTTCAAACAAACTTATTTGAACAGTAATCAATAACAAAGATTCTGGCTAGACTCAACAATAAGGACATAAATAAGGCATTCCAAGTAAATCACTATATTATGAAGCATTTGTTTTAACAGACTACTCAGTCTATTAATCTGCAATCTTCTTTTGCTTTATTCTCCTCAGGAAACTCTAAAATTCTACCTAATATCTATTGATTTCTCAAGTAGGTAGGTACAACGGACATCCTAAATACATTCACAGAAAAATACAACTCCAAGCTCTCCTCTTCAATGGGCATCTAAACCAATAATCATACTGAGGTAAAATAAATAAATAGGAAAATACATCCAAACTATACAAAGATATACAAGCATGAGCAGTAAAACCCTGGCAAAGAGCCAAAACCAAATGTGAAGCTGCAATGAGCAGAGTCAACCACGTTGCATCTTGGCATGTTACTAAGAGCAAAAAAAAATGAATCAGTAGTATTTCAAAGGGAAGAAGCAGCATCTCAAAACAAATTAGACCTATAAAAATTTGGAAAAAGAAAAGTATTTTCAATTGCATAAGATCATAAACTGATAAGTTTTACATTACAAAGAATTTTTTGAAAGAGATAAACTCTGCTTCATTTTGATTGTTAAAAATCAAAATATCCACTGTCCGAGTAATAATGATCTTCTGGCATAAAAGAATATCAGGTTGATGCTGATATTGCTTACTCCAGTGAAGGGCAATGAAGTAAAATGACAAATAAAGAAAATAGCAGCGATTATAAGGGAAATTAAGGCAGAAGAGAAAATAATGTTAATACCTGAGAGAATTATCTAAAGTAAACAAACTTAACTTAGAAAATAGAGATTCAGAAGACAAAAAAATCACATGGATAGAAATGAAAGAACATAAGGAAAAACCATATGCAAGTGAAAAAAGAAAAAAAAGGCACGAGAGCAATCAAAAAGACCTATGAATAATTAAAATAAGAGAAATAAACAATTTGTAGGCCCAAAATTACACGCATAAATAATCAGCATAAGTTTATCCAGCCTGTCAGAAGAAAATCTTGGAAGCAAGTTTGTCGCAATAATAAGCTAACAAAAACAAAACAACATTTGAATAGATGCAATATAAATATTACATTAAAAACTGTCTCACCCACGCCATCGAAAGAATGCTAGCAGCTCCATGCTGATGTAACCAAACAACAATCACAATTGAGAGTCAGAGGGAAGATTTTGAGGTTAAAGAAGAAAACAAAGTCAAACACATATTAGACAAAGTTAAAGGACCATGAAAAAGTTAAATCACGCAGCTTGCTCTAGATAAAGACAAAATAACACAAAACTGTCACTTGATAAAAAATGACAAGAAACCAGAATAGAAGAGAACAGCATCTGATCATAGATTGATGACTCCACAAGGCTAGTCATTCACATCCTACAATAAACGAGCATGGTTAAGTAGTATAAAATCAGTTACATAAATATCATGAGAAATAATCAACTCATCAGCCACCCAATCTCTGCAATCACGTTAAGGTTAAACATGTGAATCCCAAAGTAGCAAATAGCTGAAGTCATAGCAAGAGGAAACAAGTCAGGTTCACGTTAGCCCCAAGACACCACAAGCCTGCCAAAATAAATGGTCACCAACAGAAAATTAAGTATACTGATTGAAGTCCAAAATGCAAAATGCATTACTATGGATTTGAAATCCAGCACCAGCTGACCTGGTAAAGAATAAATAGTTACACCCATCAGTAGAGTTTGCAATTTAAAGTAAATGAACTGAAAAATAATATATACAAGCATGTTATGAAATTAAAGATTCGTTTGGTAATATCCAGAGGTTGTTGTGCAAGCTGTAGGAAATAAACATTTTAGAATGTACAAGAATGTTATAAAATGAAGGCTTAGTTTTGTAAAATCCTGCTGTTGTTGTGGTAGCTGTAGGAAATGGACTTCTAATATCACAGAAACGGAAGATTTGCTCTGCAAGTATAATGCCCGTGGTCTTGAAGACATAAATGAAATGTAGATACAGTAAAGTGCCTTCTTTGGCATGTTTCGTGGACAATCATAAATCATAATATCTAGTTTTGAAAATCTAAGCAACTTTAAAGCATTCCCAAACAAAGTCCAAGTCATCAGAGTAAATCAGGAAGAAACATTATGACGTACCCTTGCATGAGGACAACAGCAGTAAAACAATTGGCATCACTTCATCCCAGACATGAAACTTTCATACTCATTATCCATGGCATTAGTTGTGTATTGTTCCGCAGATGCAGGTTGAGAAGAGGCTGGATTTGTGGCCCAAGGAAAACTCGCAGTTTGAGAAGTTGACTGATTTGAGGCCATAATTGGATCAGATTGAGATGCACTTGGATTTGAGGCCCATGGTACGTTTCCAACACTCTGAGTATGGTCAAAATTGATAGGAGGTGCAGATTGCACAGCACCATAATAAGTTGAATAGCCATAGGAAGGTGTGGCATATGGTGTACTATATGGAGCACTGTATACTGGGGCAGACACTGGTGAGGTAGCTGCAGAGTTCTGAGTTGGAACTCCAGGAAGAGAGTTCAATGTTGCATCACTAGAACCGGGAGGTGCAGGAGGTGCGGGAGGTGCGGGAGTCTGAGGCAGAGGGGCATACTGCCCGCCATAAGGAGGTATAATTTGTCCTGGAGCTTGAGTATATATGCTAGAACCAGGGGGTGGCGGTGGTGGAGGTGCATAAGGAGGATAAGGGTAGGGTGGTGGGTGTCCCCAAGGAGCTGAAGTACTAACATAACTTCCTGGGGGAGGGGGCTGAGCATTCTCCAAGGCTCCAGATACATAAGGCTGCTGTGATGGATAGCCACCACTTTTTCCATCAGGAGCAGGGTAAATGGATGCAGGTGGTGGAGCTGGAGGACCTGGTGGCACGGCAGGCTGAGGAGGCTTCCCAGCTACTCTCACAGCTATAGTCCTCCCATCCAAATGATATCCATGCATGCTAGCTATTGCCTGATTGGCCATCGACAAATCTGCATACTTCACAAAACCATAGCCTTTGCTAAGGCCAGTAATCCTGTCCTTAATAACCTTTGCCATTACAATATCACCAAAAGAAGCAAATAATCTAATCAAGCCATCATCATCCAGGTTAGGTGGCAGGTAACCAATATACAAGTTAGTCTCATCATAGTCCTTCTTCACTCCAGTGCTACCAAAAGCCCATGGAGGATTTCCAGAATTTGAACCTTGAATAGACAACACTGAGCTCTGCTTAGTTAAGGATTGAGGTGTAGACCCACCCAGTTCTGCTAAGAAGTTTTGGTACTCATCATCCATCTTTTTTCCTGATCCTTTCATTGGGCAATCAATGGTAGGGTGGCCTCCATCCCCACAAATGCTGCAAAGAACATCACTTTTAAAAGTGGATGTGCGGGCAGGACAAGCATACTGTCTGTGGCCTTGCTCACCACACAGCCTACAAAACTCTTCCTCTTTAATTGTCCCATTGAGGGCTGCAAGTTCTCTAAGTTGTTGCCTCTTGTGCTCATTAAGACCTTCATCCACGGGATGTAAAAGTTTCTCCACCATGCCCACTGCCTTATCAAGTGCCTCCTGAGTCTCAGCTTCAACAAAAACATGAAGATCCTCATTCTCTGAAGGATCAGGCTTTATGTCTCTCTTCTGCTGTAGCCTGCCTTCCTTCACCGATCCTTTTCCTCGGATAACAATTTTTGCGCCTGTTTCCTTCTCCATTCTCTTCTGAGTGTTTCCTCTTGGTCCAATTATGAGTCCAATGAAATTATAACCTGGATATTCCTTCATAGGGATATACAGCTTCTTATGTAACTTAGGAGGTCGATAGTCTGCAGGTGGCCGGAATGCTGGGTTCTTCTGAATCAGCTTTGAGATAATCTCCTGCCTCTCTTTCATCAGTTTTTCTCTTGCTCGATACTCCCTTGTATTAATCCTGATGCCCATGTTATCATAGATTGGCTCCGGGGAGGGAGACCGAGCACATTCAGGCGTGTCATCGAGAGGCAACACAGACTGGAGCTTGCGATTGATATCAAGAAGTAGAATATTGAGCGTTTGTACCTCAGGGTCAAGGTCAGCAGTGAAGTCCTTCATAAAATCGGGGAGTTGGATTACAGGAAGAGGGTCATCCTCAGCCCATCGGGACTTCCTCTTGCGACCAGCGCCGGAGCCCCTTTTTGATCGGAAAAATCCGGGTCCCATCGGCTTCGCCGTCTTCGCCGGCTATTCGCCTCCTCTTCGCCGCCGGAACAGTCCTTGTCGGTTCCGCTGTGGGCTTTAAGAAGGTTGGTATCTGTGAAAAAAAACTTCTCAGACCCGTCAGGCCTCTGAAGGTCGTGCATGATACTAGGGTCTCCGGAAACAGGTAGGGTTTCGGAAGCGGGTGGGGGAGGGGTTGGAGGGGGCGGCGGAGGTGGGTAAGGATCTAGGGTGTCTGGCTGTGGGGGGCACGGTAAAACATTAGATTCAGGGGTTTGCGATTCGACGGCTTGCTGAGGGTGAGGCCGTGGACTGGAATCATACGGATCATGATTTTGAGAAGTTTGCTCAAGAGCTAGGGTTTGGACTTGGGAAGAGAAAGCCATGGCGGGAACCTCCATCAAGGAGAGATAGAAAACGAGCCAGAGAAATAGAGCGAGACTTGGTAGGAAGGAGACAGATCTGAGGATGGCAGTAGATAACTAGCATTCAGAAATTTCAGTGAGGGGAGATGATTATCCTGTCGAACAGGGAGGCCGGACGATTTCATAGCCAGGAGTGAAATATGGTGATCGGTAGAATCTGGACGATTCTGACCGTCCGATCCAAAACGAGGGATTAGTGAGGTATGATTTGGCGGTAATTAATCAGATTCAATGATTTGGGAATTGTGTAAAATTAATAAATTTTCAAATTTTAATTTAAATAATTTTGATTCTTGAGAATTCTTTTTTTTTTCCTGAAACATGAAAATATTAATAGAATTTTGTTTTCATCATAATTCCATCAAAATGTTCAATAAAAATGAAGCATAAAATTGTATTTTAATTATGGTATATGAAGTGAGATCAGAATCATTCATCTCCCCACATTTTGAGAAACTTCAATATTAGGTACCATATAGAAAAATAATCAATTCTTAGAAATTTGCTTACATACCACATAATGCTTATTTATTTAAATATTTAACACCCAAAATTTGATATTTACATTAATAAAGTTTTGGTGTTATAAACAGATAGCTGAAAATCAATATTGGGTTGGCATGAATCTAGAAAAAATCGTATGGCCCAAAAGGCAAACGTGGTCAAAGATGGTCCACAAGATGTTAAAGGCTACATCAAGACTTCTAAGGAAGTGTACAGGAGCGACTAAACAATAGTCTCTCAAGATAAGGACCATTGAATAAATTAAAGGCTACATCAAGACTTCTAAGGAAGTGTACAAGAGCAACTAAACAATAGTCCCTCAAGATAAGGACCATTGAATACCCTCCAATAAAAGAGAGTCGTCAAGCTCCTCAAAATGACACAACGAGTCATCTCAAAAAGAACCTGAAGGCTCTTAAAGGCTATTGGCAACCAGTGCAACACCAACACAAACTTCCTTAGCGGCTTTCATGTTGAAGGGGTGGAACTACACTAGGAGAACTTGAGGAGCTTACACGCTTAGCATCGAGCTAATACTCTAGGAACTCGACCCTTAAAAAGTTAATAATGATGCCACAGACTGATTAGCTGAATAAAAAAATTGGTCAACGGTGCCCATGCGTCCTTGACTTGTTCAAAAGTCAACCCTCAATGCTCGAGCATTATAAAGCCTATGCCCCTCAACTCAAAATGGATAAGGCTTGAGGCAGCTCCATACCAAATAACGACAAGCTCCATAAAAGATAATGAGTCAATTAACTGTGTCAAGTCCAAAGTTACGACCGTTCGATCAATTGGATTGGGCAACTGATGAACCATACCCAATTGGAGGAGAACAAACAACCCATATATCACAATAGACAAATGATAAAATAAACACTAGGTAAAAGCATGGCCAAGAACCTGGTCAAATGTCATATTGAGTTTCATTCACCGGTTAATTACAAAATTATTTTCATTACAATTAAGGGTGTGTGTGTGTGTGTAAGCAAAATAGATTATTACTAGGTGCAAATATGTTTGATGACTGAATCGTGCATTGGAAGAGCCATCATCAATTGCTTGATCATCTGTAGACTCGCCCTCACTAGCTGGTGTTGATGGAGAAGAGAAAAAGTTGATAAATTACGTCACGTCAAAGCACTTCGTGTCCACCAGTCTGACCAACATGAACCGGTTGATTGCTCACTTAGTGTTGAGCCAGAGATGCTTGTTGAAGTAAATTTCACTGTGGTATTTATGGTAGTCGTCCTCTTTCCTGGTCAAATGTCATATTGAGTTTCATTCACCGGTCAATTACAAAATTCTTTTCATTACAATTAAGGGTGTGTGTGTGTGTGTGTGTGTGCGTGTAAGCAAAATAGATTATTACTTAGTGCAAATAGGTTTGATGACTGAATCGTGCATTGGAAGAGCCATCATCCAATGCTTGATCATCTGTAGACTCGCCCTCACTAGCTGGTGTTGATGGAGAAGAGAAAAAGTTGATAAATTACGCCACGTCAAAGCACTTGGTGTCCACCAGTCTGACCAACATGAACCGTTTGATTGCTCACTTAGTGTTGAGCCAGAGATGCTTGTCCTAGCCCGAAGTAAATTTCACTGTGGTATTTATGGTAGCTGTCCTCTTCTTTCAATCCGAACGGAGCTCACGTTAGGAGTCCCCGACGTAGGCAGTTTGCCCTTCTTCTCAGCACTTCTCGAAGCATTTGGATCAATCGCAAGCTCTGTTGTCAACGCCGAACGCTAACACCTAGTCTCCTCTATTCGAAAAATTATTTCATACGGATCAGACACCGCACGCAGCTTGCGTGCGGTGTCCGATCCGGACCTTAGATCACCTGATCTACGGTCCCGATGTATTTCAATGGGCCCCACCTATTTTTTTATATAAAAAAAATAGAAATAATCCTGGCCGTAGATCACCGTGATTTACGGCCAGGATCAGACACCGCATGCAGAGATGCATGCGGTGTATGCGGTGTCCGCACGCAATAATTCCTCCAAGTTTAGCCACTCGTTGTTCGACTGCCAACACCTGAACCTCCATGACCCTGCCTCGTCTGACCCCCTTAGTTTTTGATTTCTTGGCCCCAAGATACTAAGCTATCAGGTGGTGGGACGAGGCTATCCCTAGTAGTTGAAATCAGTCAACCAGACAATAGACCTACCGTAGATCATATTCATCTAAACGCTTCTTTAAATACTTGGACCATAAAATATTTACAATGGTAGTGGTATACATGTCCACCCTCAGGTTGTTGGAGTATCAATCCAACAACATGTCAATGAGAGCAAATAATATGTTTGTGATCATAAGGAATTTTGTCTCCTCCTCCTACATAGGCTTCAGGTTCCCACCTTATACTTCTTTCACAGAGGGAATGAGAGATCATCCTCAGGATCTTTCAATGGAGCCTTACCCTTTGATTGTCAGGCTTCCTCAACAGCAGCTGGCTCCTCCATAGAATCAATCTCAACTACGATGAATTCTTCTCCAATAATCATCGTAGCCTCTAGCTCTGGCTCTAGCTCAAGAGTTTGGGAGATGCTAGATTGGCCTCCTATCGACACTATTTTAGGTTATGGAGTTGCCCGTTGGAAGCTGTCGGCCGCCGGAATAGAAATCTCGTCGCCCGCTTTAGAAGGACATTTAATTTACACATGTATATAGAATTTTTAGAAAAATATGAAATCAAACTGACCCATATTTTTTATAGTTTAAATGAAAGAGCACTAAATCTCAAACCCTGTATCTATCCCGAAGGATAAACATAAGACTTGAGGATGAGGCTCGATCAAATAAACTAAGAAATATATGGCGTCTGTTTGGTCTGCAAAACTGTTTTATTTGCCGATAAGTTCCCCTATCTAATATGAAGAATTAAATAGAGTTTATATTAAGCTGGGTTCGGACAAGCTTCCTATTATAGTTAATTACATCTTAGATAACCGAAGTCACCCAAGAAAACTCTTGATATAAATCAGGAAATATTATCTTCAAAGATTTCAAAAAGGATAAGACTTTTCAACAAAATCAGACAAAGAGGTGTAAATATAGGAATAATTCAAATTTGGAACATTTTATTGTAGAATCTAAAGGAGGAAGAACTAGGGGATGTCACAGATTTGAAGGAGAACCTCGGTGACTTCCTAGTTCATCCTATTTAAAGATTTCAAAAAGGATAAGACTTTTCAACAAAATCAGACAAAGATGTGTAAATATAGGAATAATTCAAATTTGGAACATTTTATTGTAGAATCTAAAGGAGGAAGAACTAGGGGATGTCACAGATTTGAAGGAGAACCTCGGTGACTTCCTAGTTCATCCTATTTTTTGGCTTCAGTTTTGAGGAAAAATATTTAGGTGTTTTATCCTACCAATTTTATTTGTTAGGGCTTACATTCGTGTGAAACGATCACACAAATAACCTGGGAGATGTGAGGGTTTAAGTCGTGACAAACAACAACCTCGAATATCTAAGATGAGTTAGGGCTTAGATTGTACAACTGAGTTGTGCAAAGACCTAAAGATAAGGTGAGGATTTATGTTGCATAAGAAAACAACCTCGAATGGATTGTTATTTTAGCTCTAAGGAAGGAAATTGGTTTAGCTGAGGAATACATGTTTTGCTGTTGAAGATGGGCTTGCTGCCCACCATGCTAGCTCCAAGCTCCTCGTCACGACGAGTTTAAGTTTTCTAGTGTGTCAAGTTATGATGTCAAATCAGATGGCCCTATGGTTGTAGTTTTTTAAATATTATGGGGCATATTAAAGTTGATTAGAGTGACACCGGTTAGGATCCTACGGTTCCCTCATTTTGGTACCACTATTTTCTATCAAATTTACTT